AACAGCGACAACCAGCGTGGTGCTATAGCTTAGCGTCAATCGAAGCGTATTTCCAGTAAACGGCATTAAATGAAACGCACAAAAAGCTGGGAATACGGACCATCGCGAATTACATGCGGTCATAACAGTCCAAAAGGCAATCCAAAACGCAACTAGGACTTTGCACTGGACTTGACGTGTTAAAACGTATTTTTTTCTGAACTCTGGAAAAAAATATTCCGCGGCTTTGTGAGACTCCATTTCTATTACGAAATACTAGCTTGAACAGATAATGACTTGCTCGCAGAGGTGAACGAGAGGAAACGAAGACAGGGGATAACCTTACGGATTTATCGTAACACAAGAGATTGAACAAGTTTCGCTTGAGTAGAAAATAGTATCACCCATTTCTGCTACTAATTTCTGCTCATGTCTCTTATGAATGTCTTTATTTGTCATACGTGTGCAGTAATGACTGTGTCCTATAAAAACAGCAACTTCCTAAGCATGTATCAGCCGTTTCTGATACTATTTTCTGCTCATGTCTCTGATGAATTCACGACGGATGTCGAAACGTCGGGCGAACAAAAGTGTTGTCCCAACGATCGAATGTTCTTCTTCACCTCAAAGTTTGACTTATTTCTCCATCGAACGAGTGGGCCGACCATGGAACTCGCTATCAAGCGAGATGGTGACGAAAGATGCTATTTTTGATTTTAAAATAAAGCTTGATTGCAAAATGGTTGACAAAAATCCTATTTCACAACATGCTTACTTACATCCGATCGTGGGAAATGCTTCGTGATTCGTTACCATGAGTTTTATTTGTGTGGTATTTTGGCACAAACACATTCTTAATATTTACAAGCTAATACAGATTGTAAATATAGAAAAGTTACTGTAAATTAACAGAGTGATCAAAAGCCCCGCTCGTAACCCATGAATGCATCCACGCGTCCCCCACTATAACAAATCTGATGTGCTTGTATCCCCTACGAAGCGACAAGATTCGTGGCTTGGAAAGGCGCCAACTGATGTGATTACCAAGTCCTTGTGGTCAGTACTGTGTGTAGAGTGACTGACTGCAAAACTAACAGTTAGGCTCAGCGGTTTTTTTCTTTTTAATGTGGCCTTCACAGCACTCTTACGTGTGTACTACTACAATTCTTGTTGAGATTGAGGGGATATGAGCCCTGTGCTGACTTTAACCAGCGTCACTTCTGACTTACAATACAGTCAGAAATAGTACCAGCAAGAATATCACTCAGCTACACCCTAGTAGTATTAGAAATAGCAGTAGTGGCCCGCATCTGACGCTGACGCTGACGTAGCAATTAGTGAGTCGGACGCGAAGTGTCAAGCCAGTACCGCATTAATTAAGACCCAAGCGTTGGCTACAGAAGTGAACAATTATCACACACACT